CGTTCACTGACTCAGCTTTCCTCCTGCAGTCGGCATCATTGCCTCTGTTTTGTGAGGTAGAGGACTTTGTGGACTGGTGTTGGGTTAATGGGTTAATGTTGGACTTGTGGGCTTGGGCAGCACTGGGTTGGGATGTTTCCATGATGCAGATTTTCTTTACATAAAACTCTCTCTTATACATGAGTTGCTGTGGATTTGTTTCTCCTAAGTACCCAGACTAATACACTATGTAACCACAGGTTCCCGGGATTAGCATGTGGACATCTTTGGGAGGCACGTCGTTCTGCCTCTTACAGACGGTCAAGTGTGTCCACCACATAGAAGGAAGTGAGCAAGAGCCATCGTTCCCACCCAACAGTACAGGAGGGCATTTAAGAACTCTTGTGGGATGACAAGGGGTTGACATTTGTGGAGGCATAAGGACTCGCCAACTGTCCTGTCTACTTCAAAAATATCTGAAATGTCTCGTGATGAGAAATTCGGAAATGCCATTGTTGTCTCCACTGCCCAGATTAGGTTTGCCTGGCCACCTGAGGCCCAAACACCAGCCGTTAGCAGATGTACTGCTCCGGCCATCACTCCCAGAGGAGGGAAGAGCTCCTTTCCGGGCTGGCCGATGGGTGAAGGGCAATGCCCTTTGGAATGGCAGCCACCACTTTGCAAACAGCTCTGAATCTTGACCACACCCGGGTCGCCTTCCCTGTGATGCCAGCCTACGGGCTTCGGGTTGTCTGAACTCCTGGGACAGCTCCCGGTGCTGGACCAAAGGGGAGTCGACCGTGATGCTGGAAGCAGCCAGGCAGGACTGTTTGGGAGCCCTACCGGATCGTCCGCCGACCCTTCAGGACCCCCCCACGCCCACCCAGGTCATTTCTGATCGATGCAATACTTTTCTGTTGGTTTGGACTTGGACTTTCAACAGCCCTAAATTTGAAACCCAGGAGCAGTGGTGGGTCAGTGGCAGGGTCCTCACTGTCCACCAGGGAGACTCAGGTTTGATTCCCAGACCAGGCACCTTCTGCACAGCCGCCGCCACCATCGATCGGGGGAGGTCTGGGTGTTGCTGTGATTCTGAACGCGGTCCAGACAAAGAGAAACTACGAGGAAAGGTCAGGCAACGTACTACCAAAAAATCAGCCATTGACAACGCTGCAGATCACAACGGTCCAATCTGTAACTGATCATATAGAAGGGGCAAGGCTGGACATCACCTGCTTCCATTGTACCCGGAAGCCACTATGGACACTTTGCCCCCAAGAGGGAATGGCTTACATCCTAAGGGAGAGCTGAATTTCTGCACAGCCAAGCAGAGGTTCTTAGAGGTAGCTTGTGCTTGGGGTGAGGCCCTTCCTGTAGAAACAAGCACAGTCCACTCTCCGCTCCTTGAGAGACAAGGGCTGCGAGGACTGCCTCCTCCTCCTGGCCCTCAAAGCACCCTCTCCATGGGCTGCCTCTCTACACCTCCCCGTCTCCATTCCAGTGCCCTGCCCTCTCTCACCCAGGAGCCAGTTGACCCACCACTCTCTCGCTGTAGAGCCACAGCAGAGGCTGGGGAGCGTGGTGGTGGAGAGGACAGTTTGCCCTCGGGCTGGGACCTCATTATGCAGGCTAGTGAGTCACTTGCTTGGTCGCCCTCCCATATGGTCATGCTCCTCGCCTCTCTTTCTTTGACTCTCCGCCCTGGGCTCCCAGAACCACACCTGCCCAGACTCCTACTTAGTCATGAGGAATCTGGTCTGGGTTGTTGTGTCCCAGGCCTTCCCATGGTTCCAGGTGTCCCAGAAACCCAGGACATCGACACTCAGAACTCAGAGAGGATGGCATCTAGCAGGTGAGCGAGCGGCTGGTAGAGGAGACGGGGCCTAGGGGGGAGAGGGAGGAAAGGATGAGGAGTCTACCTGGGGGTCGAGGTAGACCTTGGGCTGAGCGGGGAGTGGAAGGAACACCGATTTCCTGAGAGAAGCGAGTGGGAGGAAGAATCTGGGAGACCAGGCAGCCTCTGCGTTCAGTTCGACAAGTATTTATTGTTCTCCTGCGTGGGAGGAGCATGTGAAGAAATACTGGGCCAGCTTATTCATGAAAATGGGGGACACGAAGGCTCTAGAGGCAAAGTGGAGCACCCCCATATCCTAAGAGGAACCCCAGAAGTCCAAGAAGGCAAAAGGTCTACATCTAGTTCACACCGTTTATTGAGCCAGCATCCAGGGGACCTAAGGGACCTGCTTTGGTCTCCACAGACATCCTGGTATCTCCCTCACAAAGGCAACACCTGAGCTCCCAGGAGCATGGCATCCAGGAAGAGGGCTGGGGGGTGGGGGGGGGAGATGTCGAGAGCCCAGGGTGTGTGAGAGGCCGAGAGGGGCGTTGGGCTTTCCAATGGTCTGGTGAGCTCTATGATAGGGTGAAGGCAAAGGTGGGGAAGGGGTCATGTGGCATTGGCAGTGATTTCCCAGTGGACACGTTGGTGGGTCAGATGGTGAAGACTCCACTCTCTGAGGCCCAAGATGCGTGGAAAGCGGCCACTGTGTTCAGTTTGGAGGCTGCTCGGTTTGGCAGAGGGGAAGCGGACGGGTTGACTTGCTGCCCGGGTACAGAGACCTCCCCATTTGGGGAACATCTTGGGGAGGTGTCCAGTCGAGAACCTGAACGGGTGGAGTTGGGCAATGGGCTGTACCACCTCAGAAAAGGTTTCTGCTGACAGGGGACATTCCGGGAGTGGTTATCTGGCAGAGAAGCCGTGGTAGGGGACTGGCATCTAAGCAGCTTGAGGAAACAAGGACGGGACTTGGGGGCAGCCACTTTGGAGAGATGAAGGTGGTACGTGGAATGAGCGCCTGCCACCTGGGGGTGCCAGAGAAGTAGCGCGTGTCTCCGGAAAGGGAGGAGACCAACTGGGACACCCCATGCCTGACTCCCTGGATGCTGCCCAGCCGGGAGACGACACGCCACGTGTGTGTGTGCCCGCACGTGCTCATGCACCAAAAATGACCTACGGACCCTCAGGGACATCTCCCTGGGGGAGAAACACCTCAGGGTCAGCCAGCTGGGGCCCCAGAGGTTGCACGCGGGCCAGGATGTCCCGGATGGAGCGGCAGGGCATCCTTCCAGAGGTGACGGGACCACAGGGCTTGGCGCCAGCTAAGGGGTCCGGTTGGGGAGAGCCATCAGGACCCCCACTCAACGTCGAGGAGGAGACCGACAGGCAAGGGTGACCGGAAGAGCTGGCCCTGCTGCCGCAGGGCTGCAGGATGATTTTGCCACTGGACTGCGAGCTGGAGCTGCCGCTGAGGGAGCCGATGCCCGGCGAGGAGCAAGGCCCCTGGGAAGCACTGCCACAGGGCTGGAAGGGGCCACTGGAGCTGCTGTGGGTTCCAGAACTGGGCAGGGAGCACGGCCCCTTGGATCCTGCAAAGCCAGCGCCGCAGGGCCGGACCCCCCCCGAGCCCACAGGCTGGAACACAATGGTGGAGGGCGCTGCTGGCTGGTAGCTGCTGGAACCGGAAGCACTGTGGCTGGGGATGATGGGGTTGCTGGAGAAGTATTTGCCCTCGGAGATGGGGGGCCCAGCGGCAAAGGAGGGGACTCCTGGGGAGCCTCTGATGGGGTTCTCTTTGGTGAAGTAGCCCACAGGGTAGATCTTACCCCCACTGTAGGTCATGCCAGGGACCAAATAACTGGTAGAGGACCCACCGACTACCTCGTAGCCCCCATTGGATTTGTCTACCACCGAGGTGATAGGGGGGCAGGGCTTGCCTGGAAGACCCCCATTGTGACAGGGGCCACCTTGAAGCACCCCAGGGCCGCCAGAGCCATGCTGCTCGACCACCACCACCACTGGCCTCTTACCTCCCGACACAGTGTGTGAACCGGAGAGGTAGGAGCCAGAGTGAGAGACAATGGGGCCCCCACTGCAGGGAGAGTCGGGGGCATCTGAGCTACAGGGGCGAAGGTTGGAGCTGACCCTCTGGCCGCCGCTGCTGGAACTCCAAGAGCTTTGGGAAACCGAAGAGGTTAAGCTTCCTCCACTCTGGGAAGAGCTGATGACCATCCGGGGCGGCAGAGCCGAGCCGGACCCTGACTGGGAGCTGCTGCTTCCGGACTGTGGGTTGTTGGAGGGGTTTTGCAGTGCCGAGCCAGACCCAGAGGAGTAGCTGATCTGGGAATACCCTGATCCCGGCTTAAGTCCTGAAGATCCTGAAGAAAAGGAAGAACTCCCCTGGGAGACACTGTATCCACTGGAGCCACCACTGGAGCCGCCACTGGAGCCGCCACTGGAGCCACCACTGGGGCTGCCACTGGGGCCACCACTGGAGCCGCCACTGGAGCCGCCACTGGAGCCACCACTGGGGCTGCCACTGGGGCCACCACTGGATCCGCCACTGGAGCCACCACTTGAACCGCCACTGGAGCCACCATTACTGCCACTGGAGCCGCCACTGGAGCCACCATTAGAACTGCCACTGGAGCCGCCACTGGAGCTACTGTAACTGGAACTACTATAGCTGCTGGATCCACTGTGGCTACTAGAACCACCAGCCCCAGTGAGACAGGGGTTATTGGGGGAGGTGATGCGGTCCTTGCAAGGGTCTGGGAAGGCCCTGATGCTCTTAGCCAAGGTCCCTGGAAAAGAAAGGGGTAGTTCGTGAGGGCCAGAGAGGCGGGCTTTCTCTCCCTCACCCCTCAGCCCACTCTGGTCATCTGTCACCTAACTTCTCCCCGAAGGAGCTCCGGGAGGGCAGGGGTTAGGAAGGAGAGGGAGACCTGCTTGTTGTTGAGATGGTTACGTTGCTCTGCGAGGCTGGGGGAGGGGGGTCCAAAGGTCTACCAGAAAAGGAAGAAACATGGAACCCAGAGGTGGGAGGCCCCCACAAAGCAAGCTGAAGACAAGAAGGGATAGCAAAGTGGCAGAGGCCGGAAGCAAGGCCCCCCCATGTCCAGATGGGGAAAGACTGAGACCCTGAAAGGTGGGGACATCGATCCTGAGGGAAGAAGCTCTGGGAGCGGAAGTGAGACCCCATCAAAGGAGAAGGCAAAAGACAAAACAATGGTGGGGTGGGTGGGGACCGAAGGACAGGCTGGGCAAAGAGAAACAGGGTGGCCAAGGGGCTGGGATGAAAGACAAGGTACTTAAGGCCTGAGATTCAATCCCGGCGGGGGTGAAGGGTGGACATCCCATTTCCTATAGCAGCCCTGCCAGTGACGCAGGAGCCCTGGGGGGTAGGGGTTATGCGTGGGGCTGCAATCCGGCATGGTCAGCAGCTTGGAACCACCAGGCGCTCCACGGGAGACAGACTGGGCTTTCTACTCCTGTAAACAGCTACAGTCTCTCCCCACTAGGAGTCGCATGGGTCAGCTTTGACTCCACAGCAGCGAGTTTGGGGACCAGTAAAGCTGGGTGTGGGCCCGGACAGGGGGTTCCTGTCTGTTGCTTCAGAACCTGCTGGTACTAGCGTGACAGGACACCACACCCGGAGACACCTCTGTGCTCTCCGGGCCAGCCTACCCCACGGCCGATGACCACGCTCAGCTTCCCTCCCTCCCCACCCAGCATCACGTGCATCTGCCTACCTGCCTGCCCTCCCCCTAGGCCCACGGCAGCCCTCTCCTGACTTACTTCCCTGGGGGTGAGGACCATGCGTATCTTAACCACCTCTTTGCTCCCCCCACCAACTCCCCACCACCTGCCGGCTGTGCCATGGGCTGTGACGTTGCTAGCCTTTTTGAGCTCTCACTGAGAGAGGCTGGCTCTGTGCAGCCTTCTGCGCGGGATGTTTGAAAAACAACCTGGGGTTCGACTCGTAGTTGATTTAAACGGCAGAACGCCAAGTTGAGGATCGAAACTGTAAACCCCCCTCCCCTGGAGGTATCCCTGCAAAAGGCTGGAAAGAAATCTGCTAACGCAAGTCAAGCACAGGCTTGATGCTTTAGGAGAGCCCCCAACGAGCAACCCCACCGTCAGAATCTGGGGGTCACATGCTGCCCCCTGCAGTCCACGGCGCGCATTGGATAAGCACTTCTCCACACACCCCCAGACCCCACTCTCCAGACCATAGGGAAGGTCACAGAAGGGCCTCAGAGGCCATGCGTGCCCAGGGGTCACGAGCACAGGTGTGGAGTCACCCAGCCTGGGTTCGAATCCTGGCATTACAACTCTCTGGGTCTGTGATCTTCAGCCAGGAGCGTAACCTCACCGGGCCTCCACGGTCCCTCCCGTGTGTGTGAAATGGCAACAAGTGTTTTCACACGCCGTGATGGTGATGACCAGAGCCAGCTCTGGCACATTAAAAGGGCTCTAAACGTGGGAGCGATCATGATTCACTGAGAACTATCCTACCTTCATGCCCTGGTCCTTTAATCACAGAAGGACAATAATAGAACAAAAATGTACATTCCTCTAGCTCTTTGGGACTTCCAAAGCACACACCACTCCTGTTATTGAGTTTCAGGCCCTCAGAGAAGCTAGGCTTGGGGTTCTGATTGAGCCAAGGATGGCGTTTCAGGAACTCTGCCGGTTGAGGAAGCTCTCCCGAGGGGCCAAGACAGAGACGCAGGCCTGAGGATCGCAGGTCGATGCCTGTCTTCCCCTCAATAGGTTCTCCTCCAGTGAGCAGGGACTTCTTCCAGGACCAGATCCCCACCAACCTTCCCAACTCAACTCGGGTGTCCCTCTTCGGTCCTGCTCCCTGACTCCTAGCACCACCCCCACCCTGCCCCCCACCGCCGACCCCCCCACCTCCTACCTGGCAAGAGAAGAGTCACCAACAGCGCCACCGTCAGTCCATGCCCCCCCACACACCCTGGCCGGGGTGCCCTTGTGAAGCCCATCTTGGACCGTGCTGCGGACTGACAGCAGCTGGTGGACACACGGTCCTTTATGCCAGGGCTGGACATTCTCCGGGCAGGAGTCACTGTGGGCAGGGAGGGGAGGCGGAGGGACGGGTGCCCTGGGAGCTGGGCGTGGCAGGGAGGAGCCATAGCAATCAGTGGGAGCACCTGCCAGCTCAGCAGCCGCAGCAGCGCCTGGAGTGCGGGTACCCATGGCCACGGCCGGCCGAGCAGTTCCTGCCACCTGACCAGCCTGGGCCTGGCTCCTCGTTCTGCATTGCCCAACATGGAAACTGTCCCGGCAGCTGCCCACTCTCTGGCAGCCACTCTCCCCAGACGCCCCATCACCTGGCTGCTACCCTCTCCTCCTGCCCTGTGTGGACCTGTCCTCTGACTCCCCATCCTCCCATTGTCCCCCATCCCTGACTCCCCATCCTCCCATTGTCCCCCATCCTGACTCCCCATCCTCCCCCACTCCCAGACATGGATATTTATGCCCTCCCTTCCAGCCACGGGGGCCTGCCCTGCCCCCCAACCCCAGCCCAGCTGTCTGTCCCCCCCGGCGTTTCCACAGCGGCACCTGGTTCTGCTTCCTCTTTGGGGTCCTGTCACGCAGCCTCCGCTGTCTTACTCCAAACGCGGTCTGCACTCGGATGCGCCCCCCCCCAGGCCCACCTGTCCCCACCACCCAGCACTGCCTGCTTCCCACCTTGTACGTGCTCTAGCTGGATTTTACCGCTTCGTAAATAGAATTTGTTATTTGTTTTTAACAGCTTGTTAGGCTATCATTCGCATGCTATATGAGTAATTTGTTAATTCGTATACATCGTACAATTAAGTCTTTGTACAGAATCTTTAGAATGTTTTGTCACCTTAAAGCACACACATACACACCCTCACACCTTGCCAATCATGCTCCAGTTCCTCCCAACTCTCCCAGTTCCAGGCTACTATTAGTCTGTCTCCTATCTCTATACAGATTTGTCTACTGGGGACCTGTCACTTCAATGTCATTCACAGCCCGTGGTCTTTTGAGGGTAGCCTCCTCCACTTAGTTGAGGTCCTTTCACATGTATCAGTGCATCATCCTTCTTATTGCCAAATAATGTTCCCGAGTGTGGATGTGGACCTGTTTCTGGCATGTTGGTCCCAGCACACACTGTATTTACAGGACAGATTACAACTGTCCTGTATGGTCCCCAACGAGGAAGGAGCCTTCTTCCTCTCCATAATGGGCGTCCACATGCCAACAACAGGCTCCCTCGCCTCTCCCTTCTGGGGGCTCCGGGGGCAGCTTGGTGGGGGCAGGGGTGCTGGCTGCCAGGGCCTCAGTCTGGGGCCAGGCCTGGGCTGGGTACCCCTGTCATAGCTGGCCTCTGTTACTCACAGGTCACTCACAGCCCTTCCCCCACGGCTGGTGACCCTGAGCAAGAGGCTAATAGGCTACATTAGAGAAGGTGGTGGCCCTGCAGGCAATGAGCCGGGATGAGTGGACAGGAAGTGGCCAGTTCACACTGGGGCACACCGGCACCTGCAAAGAGGGTACTGGTTTCCCCTCCGATGTAGTCCCCTCCCTGGTCCTACCCAGGCCAATTGCTCAATGGCGTGGCCTAGAGTGTCAGTATCAGAGGGAGGGGCCCAGAAGCTGGAGGCGGGTCAAGCTGCTCTCCCCTCTCCAGCCCAGGCTGCCCACAGAAGCTCGCAGCACCCTCTCCCCTGTGCACAGCAGTCCCCAGCCCCCAAAGCCGGGGAGGTGGGGAGCGGGCTGAGCTCTTCCTTCCAATAGAACTGTCTGCAGCGATGCAAATTGTCCTGCAGCCTCTCCGCCCAAGACGGGAGCCCCAGCCCCTCTCGAAAGGTGCTGGTATCAACTGAGGAGGCGGCCTTTTCCTTTGATGCCATTTCACTTCCACTGAACCGGGAAGAGACACCTGCAGCTGAGGTTGTTGCCTGACAGGGCGGAATGAGCGGGGAAAGTTGGGGGTGGCGTGAAGAAAGCTGTGGAGAGCAGACAGACTGCCCTAGCAGCCCCTCGAGAGGACACAAGCCGTGGACATCAGACCCAGGATGACTTGGGTTCAAGGTCCAGCTTTGCCCCTGCCTTTGGGCAACTTCCTGAATCTTGACGTTCTCGCCCATAAAATCGGAGACCAGGTGGTGTCTTGGGTGAGGCCCTAGGCTGCTAATCACAAGGTCAGAAGTTTGAGACCGCCGGCTGCTCTGAGGAAGGGAGGTGAGGCTTTCTGAGAACCACCGGACTAGTCCTCTGTCCTGTCGGGTGGCACTACATCCAGTAAGAACAGACTCGATGTGGGTCTGTTGTCCCTCTCGCCTCCTAGTAGGATTTTCTTGTGGAGATCAAAGGAGAAACAATCAGAACAAGGAACCGGGATGCAGGGCGGGGCCCTCTTAGCAGGAGCACTCAGCTGCCGGCCCCCCACCCCATCCCCTCCCCTGTCGCCCCTGCCTGCCTCCGCCCACTGCCAACTCAGATGGGTTTGCCCTTGGCAATGCTGCCCAGTTAACTAGAAGACTCTCCTTGGCGCCCTTCCTGCCCCAGACAGAAGGACAGGGAACAGGCATGTGGCTGTTTTGTTGCTATTCGCGGACGTCCCTAGGGCCCCTCCCTCCCAGACTCTCTGGCTCAGGCCCTCCTCCCAACTGTTGTGCATGGGAGCCGGGAAGGGAGTGGCGGCAAGGAGAGGGGTCAGAACCCGCCCGGAGTCCGGAGTGTGGGGAGAGAGGAGGCTGAAGAACAGCAGGACCTGTGGGTAGGTTATTCTTTTCCAACCCAAACTTTTCTGACGAGCCAGAGGTGGCAACGTTTGTCTTGCTGTGTCCCACACATTCCTCTCGGGTGCTGTCAGTCAGGTGGCCAGGCCAGGGGAGGCCCAGTCTCTCTCGGCCTCCCGCCAAATTTCCAGCCTCCTACACAACTCTCGTGTTGGGCCGCATTCCTGCCTCACGCTGGGCTCCCCTTGGCCGCTCTGTCCCCTCCTGTTCAGCTCTGTCCTCTCCACCTGCCCCCCTGTTGTCCTTCCTGACCCTCCACACACACCCCCTCTCCAGTTCATGCTGAGATCCTAGATGCGTCCCTGTCTTTGTCCACACCGATCCAGGTGCTCACAAGTAACCTCTCTCAGCAGTGAAAAGCTGAGGCTAAGAGAAGTCGGCTGCTAACCGCAAGGTCAGCCGTTCAAAACCACCGATCACGCCACGAGAGAAAGTGGGGGCTTTCCACTCCTGTAAAGAGTTACAGTCTCGGAAATTCCTGGGAGCAGTTCTATCCTGTCCTACAGGGTCCACTAGGAGTCCAGAAGAGACCAGGGAAAGACAGGGAGAGAAAGGACACTGGCCGATGCCCAGCACGGGCCAGGACCACCTTCTAGAACGTTCCTCCCTCGATGATGTCCACGGTAGCACAGGCAGCTGGGCTGCATCCCACAGGCTCCAGAGTCCACCTCTGACCCCAGCCCTTTGGTGACCATGTATGGGGTGGTCTGGGTGCCAGCGATGGCACAGGGCAGCCCGGCCCACCACAGAAAACCAAGCTCCGTCCACAGGCAAGGGACTGGGAGCCTCTCCCTCTTATCATGATAAAGGCAGGCGGACCCCCACCCTAGGGCACGGCCTTCGGTGCCAGTGTTCCTAAACCCGTGCTTTGCGCACTGCACAGACGAGGAAGGTGACTTGGCTGAGCCCTCAGGAGCTTCTGTCCTACTAGAGAGAGAGAGAAGGCCAGAGCCTCCCATCATTTGGCTCCAAGGAGGTGCCAGGCCTTTGGCTGGGCCTCAAGCAGGGAGCAGGGAGCAGGCACTTCAGGCTCAGTGACTGGCTGACGCTGGCATGCGAAACACCGTGACATGGAAGAACGGAGAAATGTTAGGTAATCTATCACGCCAGGGTATCTGTTTGAGGACAACGGTGCACCTGATTCAAGCTAGGGTATTTTCAATCTCTTCCTACCCGTGCTAAAGCTGGACAATGATTACAAGGACAATCAAAGAAGGATGGATGCGTTCAAGTTCCATGTTGGTGAGGAATATTGAAAATACCATGACCTGACCCAAAACAATCATGTCAATGCAAACAAGGGGGAGAGGAGTGTCGGCCCAAAGCCCCTCTGTAGACAATTGGACATCCCCTCACAAAAGAAGGGTCACAAGGAAGGGACTAGCCAGCCAGGGTGCAGTGTAGCACCGACGACGACGACGAAACATACAACATTCCTCTAGTTCTTTAATGTTTACACACACACACACACACACACAATCATGACCCCAGTTCTACCTGACAAATTGGGTTAGACCAGAGCATGCACACGGGTACAGATAAGAGCTCTCAACACACAGAATCCAGGACAGATAAACCCCTAAAGAACAAGAATGGGAGTAGCGATACCATGAGGGTAGGGGGAAGTGGGGGGAGAAAGGGGGAATCGATCATAATGATCGACGTATAACTGCCCCCCGCCCCTTAACCAGGGTGACGAAGAACAGAAACATGGGTAAAGAAGACAGCGGATGGTGTAAGATATGGAAATAATAGCTTATTTATCAAGGGTTCAAGAGGGTGGGGAAGGGAGAGGTGGAAAGAGGAGCTGATACCAAGGGCTCAAGAAAAAAGAAACTGTTTTGAAAAGGATGGTGGCAACCTATGAACAAATGTGCTTGACACGGTGAATGTATGGATTGTGCTAAGAGCTGTAAGATCCCCCAGTAAAATGATTACTTTTTTTTTAAAGAAAATACCATGGCCTGCCGGAAGAACAAGGCAAATTTATCTTAGAAGAAGTACAGCCAGAAGGTCCCTTAGAAGCGAAGATGGTGAGATTTTATCGCAGCTAGTTTTGGACACACGTCATCAGGAGGGACCCAAACCTGGACAAGGGCATGATGCTTAGAACAACAGAGGGTCAACCAGGAGACAGACGGACCGACGCAGTCGCTACTGACACAGCGAGCTTACGTACAGGCATAATGAGGAGGCTGGCACAGGACCGGGTGGGTGCTGTTCTGTTGTGGTGAGGTTGCCATGCATC